AGCGTAATGGCTATGTCGCTGGACTCCCATGTAGTCAACCGCAGTTCGCGTCCCGGAACCGGCGGCTTAAACTCACACCGGGCGCGTATGCGCGCGTGCCCAAGATCCCGAGAGAATGGAGGAGAAGGGATTGCGGCGTGGCCATCCTCCCTGGGGGGTGATTTCTCGCTTTCTATCTGTCTGTCTGTCTCTGTCTGGCAAGCGCACTCGCCCTATTGCGAAAAACCTCTCAAAAAAAAAACAAACCATACTGGGCATGTGTATGTGCATGCCGAAAATCCCCAAAAGGAGGGAGAGATGGAGGAAAAGGGATTGGAGAGTGATCATTCCCCATGGGAGGTGCTTTCTTCCTCCCTCTCTCTCTCCATCTGGGAATACATGTGCCCTGTCAGTATTTTTATTTTTTTTTTTTGAGAGTTTTTTTTGTTTTGTTTTGTTTTGTTTTTAACTATAGGGTGTGTGTGCTCGCCAGACAGACAGCGAGAAATCACCCCCAGGGGGGATGGCCAAGCCGCAATACCTTCTCTTCTATTCTGCTCTCGGGATCTTGGGCACGCACACACACATGCCTGGCGTGAGTTTTAAGCCACCAGGTCTGGGACGCGAACCGCGGTCAACTACATGGGAGTCCAGCAACATAGCCATTACGCTAACTGCTGGTCCCAGCCCTGTCAGTATTTTAAAAAATAAAAATAAAAGGTGTATCTGTTGGGGGACCAGCAGTTGGCATAATGGCTATGTTGTTGGACTCCTATGTAGTCGACTGGGGTTCAAGTCCCAGACCCGGCAGCTTAAACTCATGCCAGGTGTGTGTGCATGTGTGCCCAAGATCCTACGAGAATGGAGAAGGGATTGCAGCGTGGCCATCCCCCCTGGAGGGTGGTTTCTTACTTTCTGTCTTTCTGTCTCTGGCAAGAGCATATACCCTACAGCAAAAACTTCTCAAAAAAAAAAATCTGTATCTTTTGGTATAACCACTATGCAGATATTCTACAACTTCGATTTCAAGAATCTTCACAAGCAAGAATAAAAAGGACTGGGACCAGGATCAGCAGGTGGCGTAATGTATATCTTGACTGTACTGAGGGGTTCCTAAATGATGACAGGTGTATATTTGTGACTTGCCAAGTTCTCCACATTCTACTGGCTGGCTGTTTTAAGTCAGTTCTTGGCCCTTCTGATAAGGACAACTTTGCAGTGTAAGCAGAGGGGCAGTGGCTTCACTGTTTTATACTAGGGGTCTTCAAAAGTTCATGGAATGCATATTATAAAAAGAACTATGGATAGATTTTTTTCCCACCAAAATAAACTCTATTTAAATTCCATTTTTATAACAACTGAAGTCTCTTCATATTACTTAATGTATCCTAATGAGTCATATTTGTGAATTAACAAAATCCCAAATCTTGGGGCCAGTAAGTGGCATAGTAGTTAAGGTGCTGGACTCCTGCATGATCAACCATAGTTTGAATTCTGGACCTGGTCGCCTGAAAATCACACTGGGCATGTGTGCGCACATGCCCACAATCCCAAGAGAATAAAGAAGGGACTGCAGCGTGGCCATCCACCAGGGGAGTGATTTTTCACTTTCCCTCTGTCTCTATTTGACAAGCACATATATCCTATAGCAAAAACATTAAAAAATGGAAAAAAAAAGGGGGGGGGGCAGCAGGTAGCATGGTGGTTAAGGGTACTGAACTCTTATATGAGGTAGACCACGGTTTGAGTCCCGGACCTGGCGGCTTTCTTGCTTTCCCTCTCTCTCTCTCTCTCTCTCTCTCTGTCCCTCTATGATCAAAATAAATAAGTAAATAAAATTAAATTAAATAACTCTTAAAAAAAGAAAAAAAGGAAAGAAAGCCCCAAATCTTAGTTTGGTGTAGTGCCTAGAACAGCAACAAAAAGGTCTTAGGTGAATAAATCGATAACTTATAGTTTGCAAGAGTTGTGTATCTCGGTATTCTTCTATCTTGAGCCTCCAAATTCAAACAATTTTCTCTAGGCTGCATCTGATTCAACTACTTTTCATCCGTTTGGGAAGTTGAAGAAAGGAGCTCTAAAATGAATGCTCACTGGACAGTCTAAGGGTTGACTGTGTGCTGCTCGATAGCTGCTCTCCAGGGTACCGACACTTTCTTGGATTAGATACATCCTCCCGAACGAATGGTAATCAGAAACACAAATTTCACACGTGGCAGCATACTTTCAAAGCGTGGTTATTTTAATGCAATTCCATTCTCCAAGGTAGTATAGGTATATTAAGTGGTTCATTTCCATTGTGAAGAAAACACTAACAGCGTCTATCTTATGTAATTTTGTCAAATCCAAACATGACTCCTTAACTACTTTTTTTAAAAACATTTTCTTTATGTATCTTGGTAAGATTTTTCTTTTCTGGATCTTTTTAAAAAACAACAACAACAAAAAAAACCCAAAATAACAACAACAACAACAAAAATCCTTTAAGAAGCTTGGAAACATTTGCCAGTTTGCTCATTCCTCTGGGGAATAGCCTTTCCAAGCATTTATCCCACCTGTGCTGAAAAATCTCCATTCTCCCAGCTGGTGGTAGGGCTGCTTCATGGAAGTGATCATCAAGAAGTGAGGAGCGAGCAAGAGAGCAAGCTTTGGAAACTACTTCTGATTCTTGTAATTAGTATGCTACAATCCACCCCAGCTTCTGCAAGGTCAGACATGCAAGACAAGTACTTGGCCAAAACAGTAGGACTTTAACAAGTGTAAAAATAGATTTTAAATAAAATAGAATCTCTATAGGAAAGAGAATTAGGTTATGCTTTACATTCTCACTCTTGCTTTAAGATATCTGTATACAAGCGTCCAAGGAGGACTCAGAGAATTGGTCTGCCCTAAGTAAAAATTCAGAATGTCTGAGTACATTCATTTTGCAAAGTTGCAGGTAAGGTGTGTTTTGGGAAATGCTGTAGCACATCCCACAAAAACAGATGGTGATTTGCGATACAGTTGATGTATTAACAAGTAATATGTAGAACGTGTAGGTCAAAGGGGCTTAGTCACAGGCTCAAAACCAATTCTGAAATGTGGTAATTTGAAACCTTTGGCTAATTATAAAACAGAAAACAAAAGCTATCACTTAGGAGTATGTCTTGTTAACCTATCCAGCTACTCTTTTAGAAGGTAAATTCCAAAACGGTCTTACTTTAATTCTGCTCAGTTACTGCAGGTTACTAATTACTGATGTTTATAATCTTAAAGTAACACAGCCCCTCTGTTGGCCCATACAAGCACTGTGCGACTATTTTAAAGGGGGCTGTGTTGAAATTCTGATTTTAGGATTTAGAAACTGCCTTTGGTTGTATCTTGAAAGCACTACTGAAAATCTGCCCAAGCTCCCTCTAGCTGCAACCTGAACATGCAGCTCAATCTTTTGTAAACATTCAGAAAATACTGATCCCAGCAGAACACACAATACGCTAGTCAGAGGCCTCACTCTCCATTTTCACATCAATGATAAACTCCTTCGCTTATTCTTGGTAGATGCTAGGAAATCCAGTCTGAGATTTGAATTTTGAAGCAACCATTAGGCCTCTTCTTTGAGGTTCATAATGATACATGGAGTCAACAAAAATAAAGTAGAACTGCCACCATTTTTCCTACATTGGGTCTATTCAGTCTGCCTTGTGTTTGTTTTTCCTGGCTAGCGCTAGAGAAAGAAGAGATGGCTGCTGGTGACAAGCCAGTGCCTGGTTTACAACCCAGCCTCTTCATATAACATTCAAACAATTCTTCAACTCCCCAGAGGAAGGGAAGGGATGACAACAATATGAGGCTAAAACCGGGGAATTTTCAGAACTCCTCAGCAGCCACTAAGTACCTCTCTTCAGTGCAGCTGCTGTGACCTCAGAGAGGTTTGGTGCTTTGGGGCTAGGTAACGTTACCTCTGAGGTTACAAAAAACTGAATGTCTTAAACCTACCCTGATATTGAATGTTAAATCACCAACTCAATAAATACAACAAAAAAATGCACAGCCGACTGGGGCATCTACCAAGCAGGAAGGCAAAATGGTCATCAGAATGTCTGAGGTTAGTGAACTATTCCCACCTTCAAAAACACTGCCCCCCAGTCTATCAACTCTCCCAGACAGCACCCTCTACATCCATGACACCCCAACTAGCAAATCAAAGAGCCACACAACTGCAGCATGATCCTCACTTGAACTTCGTGAGGTCTCCCCTCACAGCTAGCTGAAGGTCCCACACACCTTTGCAGTGTCAGGGAGAAGTCTCAGGGATGTTTGATTCCCTGAAGTCACTTGCCCCTCTTGCTGCGGCCCTTCCTGGAGGGCAGCTTCCCACTGCCCCCTGAAGAAGAAGGGCTTGAGGCCGAGGCCACAGGGATGTTGATCTGTCCCTCTTGGATTTCTTGCCGGGTCTCAGCAGGCAGGTGGTTGATCTTCTGCTGCGCCTCCAGGTAGAACATGACGTCGCGCAGCTGCTCCTGAATCTCAGTGATCTGCAGGTCTTTTTGATCGCAGGTCTCTTTCAACACCCTCTCCTCCTCCTTCAGCTTGTTCTGCAGCAGGACTTGGTTGGCTCGCAAACACTTGTTCATTTCTTGCTCTTCTTTGAGTTCAGTGGTGAGTTTAGCCACTTTCGTGTTTAGCTGAGTGCACCTTTTGCAAAACAAAGGAAGACAAAAGCATATTTTTTGTTTGCTGACTCAGTCTCCTTTCTACTCTGGGATTGAACAGAGGAGCCATGACCTCAGAATCCATTTAGGTCAGACCCCTCGCTCCCACGGCGAGGGAGACTGGTTTGCTGCCACTGCAACCAGTGACGCAAAGCAGGAATTTTAACCCTCCAGTTAACCCAAGTGTTCCTTCAAAGTATTATATTTAAGCATCAGATATTTTTCAATAGCAGAAACTATTCTGTGACTCATGGTAAAACCTCTATTGCTTTTCTGTTTTGTAGTCAGAGATTAAGTAGGTGCTGTAGAGATGACAGCCGTGATAAGGAAGTTATGGGGAAAAGTGACATTCTTGGAGTCAAGTGCTCTGACCTCACTGTATTTTGCTAAAGAGAAAAAGGCACTTACTCTAATGAAAGGGTTTTCAAGAGCTGGAAACACCTACTTTTTGATGCCTGATCTTACTCATAAGTAAAGAATTACAAATTAAACACCATTTGAGATATTATTTTTATGTATCAGAATGTCAAAAAGCTCAGACATGGGAAAAGAGGTACTCTACATATTGGCCCTGGAGCATGAACTGGTATGAACTCTTTGGAAATCAACTTGGCATTATCCATAAAAATTAAAAATTCACATGCCTTTGACACAGCTATTCTCCTTCTAGGAATTTATCCAATAGATATACTTAGGATTCTGCAGAAAGGCACACAGAAAGGTTGAGCAGTGCTGCAGTGGTAGTATACTTGACACACACGGAAAGGGTCCTGGGTTCATGTCCCATGCTGTCCTTGAGCATGCTGGGGACATGCATGCCCACGATCCAGGCTAGCTGAGACTAAGAGTAGATCATGGACTGAAGACCCTTCTGGGGATGCCCCCCGCCTCAAGAAATTAATAAATAAACTTACAAGAGGGAAAAAAAAAAGACGTGGAGAAAAATGTTCGTTACAACGTTGTTTAAAGTCGTGTAAGACCTGAGACAAACCAATAAGGCACTGGTTAAAATTATGGTACATACACACAATGGAATACCATGAAGCTGACAAAAATAAGGATAAAATTGTAGGTACTAGTGTGAAAAAGACAGCATATTTTACTAAAGAGAATATCTACTATTCTATTTTTGTAGAAACAATTATGTATATGAGATGTTTATGCATACAGAGCTAAAGATATGAAAAAAACAATTCATTAGTACTTTTTTTTTTTTTTTTAAAGATATAGGGTGTGTGTACTTGCCAGAGACAGAGACAGAGACCCCCAGGGGGATGACCATGCCACAATCTCTTCTCTTCCATTCTCCTCTCAGGATTTGGGCATGCAGGCACACAATGTTTTTATCAAGCCACTGGTCTGGCCGTGCAGTTGACCATGTGGGATCCAGCCACTTTAACCATTGTGCCACCTCGCTGGCCTCACTAGTACTGTTAATAATGATTATTTTGGGACCACCAGATGGTGTAATGGCTATGTCGCTGGACTCCCATGACTCCCACGTAGTCAGCTGCGGTTTGAGTCCTGGACCCAGTGGCTTAAACTCACACCAGGCGCATGTGCGTGGGTGCCCAAGATCCTGAGAGGAGAATGGGGGAGAAGGGATCGCAGTGTGGCCATCCTCCCGGGGGGGGGGTGATTTCTTGCTTTCTGTCTGTCTCTGTCTTTCTAGTGAGCGCACGCACCCTACAGCAAAAACCTCTCCAAGAAAAAAATATTGTTTTGGGACGAGCAGATGGTATAATGGTTACATCGCTGGACTCCCGCGTAGTTGACCACAGTTTGAGTCCTAGACCCGGTGGCTTGAAACTCATGCTGAGTGTGTGTATGTGTTCAAAATCCCATGTGGAGAATGGAAGAGAAGGGACTGAGGTGTGGCCATCCTCCCTGAGGAGTGATTTCTTACTTTCTGTCTCTGTCTCTCTGGTCAGCGCACACACCTTGTAACAGCAATCTCTTTCTTGAGGGAAAAAAAAAAAGATTACCCTGGGGCCAACAGATGGCACAGTGATTAAGGTGCTGGATGCCCATATGGCTAATAGCAGTTCAATTCCTGGATCTGGTGGCTTGAAACTCACACCATGCATGTGTATGTGTACATGTACCCAAAATCCCTAGAGGAGACAGGATTGCAGCATGGCCATCCCTTCTGGGAGGTGATTTCTCATTTTCTCTCTCTCATAGTTTCTCTGGTGAGTGCACATGCCCTACAGCAAAAGTCTCTCCACAAAAAAGTAGTAATAATAATGATTACCTCTAGATAGCAGGATCTAGGACATGAAAGAACTTCCGGTTTTAATTCTGCACAGTTTAATTTGTTAGGGTGCTGAAAATTAGGAGTATTTTTAATGTTTTTAAGAGTTATTTTATTTTGGGACCAGCAGTTAGCGTAATGGCCATGTCGCTGGACTCCTGACTGTGGTTCAAGTCCCGAACCTGGTGGCTTAAACTGACGCTGGGCGCGTGTGCATGCATGCCCAAGATCCCAAGAGGAGAATGGAGGAGAAGGGATTCCAGTGTGGCCATCCACCCCAGAGGGTGATTTCTCACTTTCTGTCTTTCCGTCTCCCTCTGTCTTTCTGGCGAGTGCATGTGCCCTGTAGCAAAAAACCTCTCCAAAAAAAAAGGTTATTTTATTATAGTATCTTTACAACAGTTAACAAACTTTTAGTGACAGAATTTGTTTTGGGCGATGAAAATTTTTTTAAAACACACAGTAGCGGTGGCTGAACATTTAGAATGTAATTAATGCCATTTAATTATACAGTTAAAAATTATACACTTAAAACAGCCAACTAGATGGTATGTGTGTCTGTGTATGTATATACGTGTGTGTATGTGTGTGTGTTTATATCCATGATAAAAAAACTATTAAAAAAATTTAACAGCAGGAGAAAATGGGTGAAGGTTACATAGGAAACTGTACGTGCATGTACACTGGGGCTGGGATTGGGATGGTTAACCATGTGCAATCTGGTTCCCTTAGCGACTAGGCCACAGAGCTGAGGTTCTATTTTTATGAGTACAAGTTAAACCAGAAAGGAAATTTCAATCAGTGGCAGCAACTATTTCCAAAAAATGGCAAGAGAGAATGTTCTTACCCTGTTCTTGAGTTCTTGCTCCACGCTCAAAACTTCTGGCCTTTAATCCTGCCTGAGGCTGGATAATACATCACCACCAGCTTGGACAATTTCTGTCCTGTCAGTTCTTAGCTACTACAGCTCAGAGAAGCTGCAGACTCCGAACACACAGAAATTACTTTTAGGCAAAGACAGAAGATATGTGTACACACCATGAGCACCCAGACTTTAGGAGAGAGCATTCCACATGGCATCCATTTGGCATGAAATGATTTTTTTTTTTTAAGAGAGATTTTTGCTATAGGGTGTGTGTGCTCACTAGGGAGACAGAGACAGAAAGTGAGAAATTACCCCCCTACAGGAGATGGCCATTCTGCAATCCTTTCTCTTCCATTCTCCATTCAGGACTTTGGGCACACTTGCACATGTGCCCAGAGTGAGTTTTAAGCTGCTGGGTCCAAGACTCGAAACTGCAGTCGACTATGTAGAAATCCAGCAACATAACCATTACACTATCTGCTGGTCCCTGGCATGGAACAATTTTTAATAAACAAGAAATCACACTAAGTTTGCTCCACATACAAAGAAACCCCTGAAAACCTGGTGATGCACACACATAAAAAATGATGTTTTCATAGGAAGGAAGGAAATTATAGCGCTTATTACAGTGAGACGGCTAATTTAAAAAATAGACTATACCTACTTTCTTTCCACAGACTGCTTTTCTTTTAGGAGATCATTTAGTCTGTGCTCCAGATTATCACACTTCTCAATTGTTTCTTTAAATTTGGTCTTCATGTTGTTAATCTGAAAGAGCAAAAAGACTCATTTCACACACATACACACACACAAAGTGTGGCCTTTGGGGCTAATGTCGTCCTACCCTTAATTATCTGTATCTAAAACTTTTTTTTTTTTGAGAGGTTTTCGCTATAGGGTGCGTGTGCTCGCCAGACAGACAGAGAGAGACATAGAGACAGAAAGTGAGAAATCATCCCCCAGGGGGGATGGTCACGCTGCAATCCCTTCTCCTCTCGGGATCTTGGGCACGCATGCACATGCACCCGGCGTGAGTTTTAAGCCACCAGGTCCAGTACGCAAACTGCTGGTCAACTACGTGGGAGTCCAGCGACATAGCCATTACGCTAACTGCTGGTTCCTTGTTATCTAAAATTTTGACAAACCAAACTTACATAAATATGAGACAATCATTTGAAAGAATTTCTGTAATAGGAATACAAACTTGGAGAAATCTTTTCTCCCGTTTCTTTTTTTTTTTTTTTTTGGAGAGATTTTCGCTATAGGGCGTGTGCGCTTACCAGACAGACAGAGAGAGACATAGAGACAGAAAGCGAGAAATCACCCCCCGGGGGATGGTCACACTGCAATCCCTTTTCCTCCATTCTCCTCTCGGGATCTTGGGCACGCACGCACACGCGCCCAGCGTGAGTTTCAAGCCACCAGGTCCGGGACACGAACCGCGGTCGACTACGTGGGAGTCCAGCGACACATTACGCCAACTGCTGGTTCCCTCCCCTGTTTCTTTATAGCACTATGAAGAAGGGACCAGAAGTTGCTGACTATCAAGTGCAACTGCTGGAAAGTGAAAAGCGAGCTTTAGGTACCAGAGTGTAGATCGTTTGTCAGAGGTCAGATCAGAACCACCCACTGTTCTTTTTTTAAAAATTTTTAAATTTTGCCACGGGGCATCACCTTTAAAGAATGGTCATGCCACAATCCCTTCTCCTCCATCTCTCCTTCCTTTTGGGATTTTGGCCCAACGTGTTTCTCAAGTTGTCAGGTCCAGGACTTAAATGGTGCAGCCAGCCATGTGGGAACTAGCCTCCTTAACCACCAGGTCACAGGCTAGCCCAGTAAGTGAACTACTGACAGAAACTGAGGCTTAGAGAAACGTGGGGCAATATGCCCAGGCTAACCCGGCCAGAGCATAGCAGATCCAGAACTAGACTGCAAGTCTGAGTCCAAAGTCAAGTTCTAAACCTCTCTCTCAACAGGCCTCTAATAGCATTGCCTTAAAAACAAAAACAAAAAAACAAAAACAAAACAAAACAAAACCCTGTTTTTGTAGGCATTACATTTATAGCCAACTTCACTAGGTTATTAGCAGCACGTGCAAAGATTCCTTTTTTCTTTGTTTTGGCACTGCCCAGAGGGATGGCTACATTGTAATCCCCTTTCTTCCATTTCTCCTTTCAGGATTTTGAGTATGTACTCATAGGTGCCTTGTGTGTCTTTCAAACTGCTGGGTCCAGGACTCAAGCTGCTTAGTTGGCCATGTGGGATTCAGTGACTTAGTCACCACACTACGGGCTGGTCCCATAGAAAAGAGATTTCTAAAAGTTTCTCTATGTGATACAATCAAAATAATTTTCGAATTGCTCTAAATCTAGTTTGGTATTGATTTTTTCTTCTATTATCTATTTTTTTATTTTCATATTTTTGCTATAAGGCACATGTACTTGCTAGAGAGAGACAGAGAGAGAAGGAAAGTGAGAAATCACCCCTTAGGGAGGATGACCACACAGTAATTCCTTCTCCACCACTCTGCTCTTAGAGTTTTGGGGCATGCACGCGTGCTCACACACACACACACACACACACACACACACACCTGGTGTGTTTTTCAAGCTGCCAAGTCTGGAACTTGATCCATACAGTCGGTTTGGAATCCATGCCTTAACCACCACCCACCTGCTGGCCCCTCTTTAATATTGTTTTTTGTTTTTTTTTTAAGAGGTTTTTGCTATAGTGCACGTGCACTCGCCAGACAGAGACAGAGGGACAGAAAGCAAGAAATAGCTCCCAGGGGCAACGGCCACGCTGCAACCCTTTCTCCTCCATTCTCCTCTTGGGATCTTGGGCACGCACGCACACATGCCTGGCGTGAGTTTAAGTCACAGGGTCCAGGACTCAAACCACGGTTGACTACATGGGAGTCCAGTGACGGCCATTATGCCAACTGCTGGTCCCTAATATTGTTTTAAGAGACCACTAAATCCTTTTGACATTTTATTCTATATTGACTCTTATCATTTTAGAGAAGTTGGAAAGGACAAATAATTATCAAAAGAAATAAAACTGGGGCCAACAGATGGCATGGTAGTTAAAGGCACTGGACTCCTACATGGCTGACCGTGGTTTGAGCCCTCGATCTGGTGGCTTGCTTTCCTGCTTTCTTTCTCCCTCTCTCTCCTGTGCTTGCTCGCTCTGTCCCTCTCTGGTTAAATATAAATAAATAAAGTTAAATATAATAATTTTTTTTTAGAAAAGAAAGAAAACTGTATGTTTTGGTCAGTCAGTAAAGATACTTAAGTCAGTCACATTTAAATTTAAATCAAGGTAAAAATATGAAATAACAGTAAGTTTTTTTGGTTTCTGTTTTTTAAATATAGAGATACGGTCTCACTCTGCAGGTGAAGCTGGCCTCAAACTTGTAATCCTCCTGCCTCTGCTAATTGCTGGGACAACAGGCAGGTCATCAAGCCCAGCTCCTAAAGAAGGGTTTAATATTACTGTGGGCAAATATTATAAAGACTTAAATTAGTGCTTTTTAAAACATTTCTAGGGGCTGGTAGGTGGTGTAGTGGTGAAGGGTGCTGGACTCTCATGTGGCCAACCATGGTTCGGGTCTGGTCAAATTAAAATAAATAAATGAATTAATAAATAGTTATATATAAAAAAATTTTCTGACCATTTGCCCACAGTAAGAAATGTCCAGTGTATAAACAAACATGCTCTGTGTGTAAATAAACTCGAACATATACATATGCACACAAAACTGACACAAGATTCATAAAACAATATTAAATGTGATATGCACTAATGTTTTACACTCGTCTTATCCTATCTAATAAAAATGGCAATTATGGTCCACCAATTTTATTTCAAAATCCACAGCTGGAAAAGTACTGGTTTAAATGGAGGTAGAGATCTAAAGGGAAGAGAGGCTTCTTTAGGGGAATCACTTGTACTGACTGCCCACAATATACTCGGCTCCATGAAAACTAACCGCCTCGAGGGACCAGCAGTTACTTTAATGGCTATGTTGCTGGACTCCCATGTAGCCGACTGTGGTTCGAATCCTGGACCCAGTGGCTTGAACTTCACACCGGGCACGTGTGTATGCATGCCCAGGATCCCGAGAGGAGAACGGAGAAGGGATTGTGGCGTGGCCATCCCCCTTGGGGGGTGATTTCTCACTTTCTGCCTCTCTGTCTTTCTGGAAAGCGTACGCACCCTGTAGCAAAAACTTCTTAAAAAACAAAACGAAACAAAAAAAAAAACCCTAACCTTCATGTGGGTCTGAGCTTCATTTTCTACAACAGATTCCACTCACATGCTATACAATAACTGTACTACCTAAGGCACTGGGAAAAAGAAGCAGTATTTATAATTCAAATCCACAGTGAATTTCAACCTTGATCACTCCCCTCCTCCAGTCACTTTTTATGAGGCCCATGAACAAGAATCTCTGTCAGTGGAACACAAGGTCTGAGTTATTGTTTCCTACTGCACATGCCCTGCTGTGGGGGGTGCAAATGGACAGAGGAATGGTCAAAAGGAGGGTAGTGGTAGGACAAAGGCTTGCATCATCCATTAACTTATGGATAAATGACATCTGTTACTAGAAAACAAAGGCATCCTTTCAATCACTGCAAGCTTTTTCTTCAGAACTGCCCTTGCCTCCACCTTACCCCTATTTGTAAGTATACATGAATTTTAGTTTTTTGTTTCCCTGCCCTTTGACTTCTTTTTACTGGCATGTCTTAGGGAATGCAGTTAATCCTAAAGGACCTTAAAGGGCAGAGAGAATACTGAGTTTAGCTCCCAAGGGTCTGCATGAAGCCCTTTGGGTGGTCACGCTGCTAGATCCTGTAGAAAAACCCATTAGTGAGGCTACAGTGGAGTTGCCAATGTGCCTCCCAGTGAGTCTATAACTTGACACCAAGTGGCAGTGGGCCGAGCTCTGCCTCCACTGAGTGCCTTGGGGAGGCACGTCCTTCCCCACAGGTGCTGCAGTCACGTCCTATTCACAACCAGTTAATCAAGGGACCTTGCGTGCCTCTGGAAAGATATTTCCATGGCTTGGAAGATACTTTTTAGCATTTCATCAATAACTTTTAAAGATCATTTTAAAGTTGATGTTAAGCATTAATTTGAAAAAATAAAAATAAATTTCTCCCTTTATAGGCAGACTCTGAAACTGGGCCCCTTGGGCCTGTTTTTCTCCAGGATAACAATCATAGCCACAGAAGTTGGCCCCAAGCTTGCTCTGCAGTCTCTATTTGGTGGGAACTCACAAAATTACTAAACACTTAGAAATTGCTAAAGACTTAGTAAACTTTGGAGAAAGTATCCCAGTTTACTGTGTTGAATTGGCACTGTACAGAAATTAACAGCCATGTTGGTCTAGAAGTGTTAAACTTATTATTTTTTGCTATAGGGCACGTGCACTCGCCAGACAGACAGAGAGAAACAGAGAGACAGAAAGTGAGAATCACCCCCCAGGGGGGATGGCCACGCCGCAATCCCTTCTCCTCCGTTCTCCTCTCAGGATCTTGGGCACACACGCACACACGCCTGGCGTGAGTTTTAAGCCACCGGGTCCGGGACACGAATCGCGGTTGACTACGTGGGAGTCCAGCGACATAGCCATTATGCTAACTGCTGGCCCCAAACTTATTTTTTTTCATTTGTACAGGAGTAATGCACTGCATTAAATATGTAAGGTCTTATATACATGGATTTGATTACAGAAACTAAAAGTATTCTCTAAATAATGAAAAAAAAAAAAGAAATTGTTAAAGACTTAAAATTGACAGGAGTGTGTGCTCGATGGAAAGAGACGAGGGGTAGAAAGTGAGAAACCACCCCCATGGGGAGTCCTCTATGGGGAGTGGTCACACCCACATGCCTGGCATGTTTTTCAAGTTGCTGATCTGAGATTTGAACTGCATAGTTGGCCATGTGGGATCCAGCCGCCCCAACCACCAGGCTACTGGCTGGCCCTAAGACTGTATTTAATACTTCTTTTTTTTTTGAAGAGGTTTTTGCAATAGGGCGCATGTGCTCGCCAGACAGAGAGAGACAGAGAGACAGAAAGCGAGAAATCACCCCCGAGGAGATGGCCATGCTGCAATCCCTTCTCCTCCATTCTCTTCTCGGGATCCTGGGCACGCACGCACACGCACCCGGCGTGAGTTTTAAGCCACCAGGTCCGGGACGCGAATCGCGGTCGACTACATGGGAGTCCAGCGACATAGCCATTACACCAACTGCTGGTCCCAAGACTGTATTTACTACTAAGGAATTGCTGAATTACTGACAGTGACCCTAGGTCCACAGAATGGTTCCTAGAGCCCTCATTGTACACACATTCTCAGGTGCTCACTGGTTTTCAAACTACCTTCTTTGGAACACTTAAAGTTCTTGGTACACACTGCAGACAATGGAAAAACAAAGCAGGTAGAGCTTTGGGAACTCCATCAAGTTTCAGAATAGTAAACGGTTCTTTAAAGGACTATTTTGTTAAAGTTTGAAAACCACTGCCCTAAACCAGAAAGGTAACAGGGTGACCACTGAAGCTCCAGAATTTCTGCCCAATTTTATTTCTTTCGATTTAAAACAGCTCGGCACTGTCTCATTGCCTCAGAGGTCCACATGCAGCTCCTAAAAGCAGCTGTTCCCAAGCTGACAAACCAACTGGCTGACTCAAATTACAAACCCTCAAGTACATACTTCTATTTTTTTAATGGAATTGCACAAGGCACTAGAAAACCTGATTGAAGTTAAGAAATAAACAAACCTTTGAACATCGCCAAATACCAAAACACTTAAGCCTTTAAATCCAAAGTTTCTTCCTAGAGGCAAAACAGGTCTCTTCCTGTTATCAGACTGAGAAGTTGGAAGACTGTAAGATTCCCTTTCCCTGTACTCTGCCTCCCCAACCCCCCATCAGACTGCCTGGCCACGTGGCATTTCAGCAGTAACCGAAACAAAATGAGACTTACTTCCTCTGCTGTGTCCTTTTCTATCCGAACTATCTTGTTTTCCCAGTAGATTCGCTGAGATTCCAGCTGGCTTGTTAATAAATACGAATACTAGAAACAGAATAAATAACAGAATGTAAATCAATGTTGTCAGTTTCTGAAATCCAGTTAAAACTGGACCTTTAATGATCTAAAGAAGAATAAAAGTAACTACAGGATGTATATTACACATTGGTTCCCCACTACTCAACATGCATTTGGCCAGGGGACAGAGATGATAATTCCATCTCTGCCCTCCTAGGGTTTATGGTATGACTGGAAGAAAAGGAAAAAAGTACATTTAATAAAATGTATTCTGGTCAAGCTGACTTAAGTAACACCCCATAGTGGTTTTTAATATTTGTATGTATGTATGTATGTATGTATTTATTTATTTATTTAGAGATTTTTGCTATAGGGTACGTGTGCTTGCCAGAGAGACAGAGAGAGACAGAGAGAAAGCAAGATATCACCCCCTGGGGGAATGGCCACCTTGCAAATCCCTTTTTCTTCATTCTCCTTTCAGGATTTTGGGCATGCATGTACACACAGCCCAGTGTGAATTTTAAGCTGCCAGGTTCGGGACTTGAACTGCAGTCAACTATGTGGCAGTCTAGCAATATAACTGTTTTGCTATCTGCTAGCTCCACTGTTTGTATTTTTTAATTGCCAGAGGGTACGTGTGTTTGCCAGAGACATAGGGAGAAAGCACATCTCAATAAGCTGTGGTCATAATCTCTTCTCCATTTCTCCATTCTGTTGGAATTTTGGGAGGCACACATATGTGCTCAGAGTGTTTTTCAAGCCGCTGGGACCTAGATTCAAGCCATGTGGTCGGCCATCTGGCTCCCTTAACAACTGGGGTAGGGCGCTGGCTGGCTGGCCCCACAGTGGTAATTTATTTTTTTTAACAGATTTTTGCTATGGGGTACATGTGCTTGCTGGAGAGACAGAGAGAGAAAAAGAGATAAACCACCCCCCACGGGGGATGGTCAAGCTGCAATCGCTTCCCCTCCACTATCCTCCTGGGATTTTGGGCACACACGCACAAGTGCCTGGGATGAGATTTAAGCCTCCAGGTCCAGGACTTGAACTGCGGTCAGCCATGTGGGAGTATAGTGCCCTAAACACCATGCCACCTGCTGGGCTCCCAAAGTGTTTTTGTATCTGCGTATAACTCAAACTATCTCATCCATCTGCTCACCTACAGGAATCTATCCAGTGCCTCCTAGGTTTTGGAGTGAAACTTCGTGGCCCCCTCAGCACTGTGCCTGTCATTAACTGCACTGTTAACACTAGTACCTAGCACCGATTTACCTGCCTGTGTCCCTGCCTGAACCATGAGCTCTTTGAAGCCAGGATTCTGTCTTGATCTCCGTATCTACAGTGTCTGGCACACTCTGGATGTCAAGAAATATGTGCTGCACGATGGCATGAATGACAGAACAGTGCTGTTAAAACTATGGGAGCGGGATAGGCAGTTCACAACAGTAGGGTCTGTTAGGACTTCTGAGAAAAGGTGAGATCCGAGAGGGTCCTTGACAGACGGGAGGAGAAGAGAGATTCCAGAGAACTACTGGACCAAGACAGCTAAGGGCATTTAGGATCTCCTCAGAGGTGAACAAAAAAACACTAACAGGATGGGGTGTAGGGTCTGGAGAGATGAGACTTAGGGGAAGGCTTTGCAGTACCATATTGAGAAATGTAAGCAAAGGGGAATCCAAGGCTGAAGAAGTGCAAGATCACGTATCTAACTGGAAAGACCATTTTAGGAGATTAGAAGAGATCTAAACATATCTGTAGACAGAGAACAGACTATGAGGAGAATGTGCCACTAGAATGTATGCTCAGGAGGGCATGGAATGCGTTCAGTGTTTTATTTGCAGGACCAAGAATTATGGCTGACAGGATGTTTCAATAATTATTTTTCTTTCTTTTTTAGTGAGGGGGAAAGGGAGGGAAGGGGGAAAGAATATGGGGTAGAGAGAGAAAGAAGTATACTTCAATGGTGTCTCACCATGCTGTTATCCTCCTGCCCTAGCCTCCAGCTAGCTAGGACCACAGACATGCCATGTCATGTACAGCATGTTTTAGGTTGGTTTGGGATCCAAACCCAGCCTTTTATGTAGCTCCAGCATCACGCAGCCAGTCCTACCATCTGTACTACTGCAGCTGGGCCAATGAGTATTTTTTAACAAACAGAAAGTATATATGTACTTACAGGTAATGTGAAAGGAAAAGTTAATTGTTCCAAAAACCTAAAGCTTTGTTGTTTTTTATTTAAAAAGAGATTTTTGCCATAGGGCACGTGCGCTCACTGGAGAGACGGAGAGACAGAAAGTGAGAAATCATCCCCAAGTGGGGATGGCCACACCACAATCCCTTCTTCTCCAGCCTCCTCTTGGGATTTTGGGCATGCACACACATGCATCTGGTGTGAGTTTTTTAAGCTGCTGGGTCCACGACTTGAACCACAATTGACTATGTGGGAGTCCAGTGATGTAACTATTATGCCATCACTGGTCTCAGATTATTTTTTTATTTTTTTAAAATTATTTTGCTAGAGAACTCATCAGAGAGGGAAAGAAGCAAGCACCCCACCACAGGGAACGGTCATGCTGCAATCCCTTCTCTATCTCTCCCTCCTTGTGGGATCTTGGGGACATGTGCCTACAATGTTCAAGCCATCAGATCCAGGACTCAAACCACATGGTTGGCCATGTGGGATCCAGCTGCCCTAACCACCAGACCACAGAGCCAGTCCATGATCTTTTAAAATCAATTAGTAATTTATTAGTGGTAACAACATCAGCCTTATTTTATACCATTTTACTGATCCAATAGACCTCTTAAGAGTCTGAGGATGAGCAAGTTTTCCAATGTCAGCTTAGTCCCAAGGTTATAATCCATTTAAAATTTTTTATTTTAATTTTTTTATTGCACTTGCCAGAGAGAAAGAGAAAGCACTCTCCAACAGCAAGGTCATGCCACAATCCCTTCTCTTTTATTTCTCCATACTATTATATCTGGGACTCGTGAGCACATGTACATGCCCAGTGTCTTTTTCAAGCCACTGGGTCTGAGATTTTATCTATGATCAGTCATGTGAGAGTCAGATCCCTTAACAACCAGGCTATGAAGCTGGCTCAAGATTTGTTTTTAAATTGACTATAGGGTGCATGAGTTACGAGAGAGAAAAGGAGTGAGAAAGCATCCACTAGGGGGATGGCCATCTACAATCCCTTCTCCTTTATTCTCCTCTCAGGATTTTGGGCATGGATACACACATGGTCTAGTGTGTTTTCAAGTTGCCATGTCTGGGACTTGGAACTGTGTAGCTGGCCTGTAGGATCCAGCTCCTTAACCACCACGCCAATGGCTGGCCTTAAAGTATATTTCTAAAGCAATCCTTTTTGGAAATTTATATATAACAGGACATACATTAAAGTTCCCTTTCATCAACTCAAAATTTATACTACATCAGTTTCACAGTAGATGGTATTTACTATGATGGACAAAAATCAGACTGTGCTTACACTATTGTTTCTCTTCAAATTATGTGAACACTCAAAAATGGCTATAAGCATATAAACCTCTAATTCATAAAATGCCATCCTAAAATGTACCAAAACCTTGTGGAGCATGGAGGATGCTACTGAGTTTTCTTCATACCAAGCAAGGAATATTCTTAACTTCCAGCTTTACTATAGCTACAGATGGCAACTTTAATACTAAACAGAAGACAATTAAGAACAACCCACTGAAAATAATAAAGCACAAGGAAACAAACTTTCAAAGAAAAACAGACAAAACAAAAATAGTTGAGCAATCTTTCACAAGAATGGTAGAATTCTTAAAAAAAAAAAAAATTACATATAGGATAAATGGCAGAATTAAAGTCCAAACAATCTTTCAAGTTATAACAGTAAAAAGCAGTAGAAACAGGTACCAAGTAATAACTAATAAAGTGTCTTTTCTCTTTTTCTTTTTTTTTTGGAGAGGTTTTTGCTATAGGGCGCATGCGCTCACCAGACAGAAAGACAAGAAAGTGAGAAATCACCCCCCAGGGTTGATAGCGGCCATGCCGCAATCCCTTCTCCTCCATTCTCCTCTCGGGATCTTGGGGACACACACACACACACACACACACACACACACACGTCCAGCGTGAGTTTAAGCCACCAGGTCTAGGACTTGAACTGCAGCTGACTACATGGGAGTCCAGCGACATAGCCATTACACCAACTCCTGGTCCCTTAAAGCATCTTACCTCTAACTGTAAGGCATCTATTTTCTCTTCCTGGCAAGTATCACCTTCACATTCATATTGTACTATTTTTCCATCTGTTTTACTTGCAACCAGTCGATGGACATAATTATCTAAAAAAAAAAAAAAAAAAGGAATTTGTCAACCAAAGCATGCTTCTTCAAAAAAGGTCTCCATAAGCCCCACCCCCTTTCTTAAAAAGGTTTTTTTGCAATAGGGTACATGCTTGCCAGAGATAGTCAGGGATCTTGGGATCTTAGACACACATGTGCCCGGTGTAATTTTAAAGCTGCAGGGTCTAGGACTCAAACTGTGGTTGGCCATGTGGGAATCCAGTACCTTAACTACCATGCCCACTGTATGCCCTCTCCATATGCTTTTTTTTCCTTCTTCAATAACGAAAAGCAGAGTTTATTACATAGATCAGTAGTCTTAGTTTTATTTGTTCAAATAATTATTCACTTTATTTGTCATTATTATTATTTTTTCATTTGATAGAGGCACTCACGAGGGACAGACAGAGAGAGAGAAAGAGAGGGAAAGTGAGAAAGCAAGCTACCAGGTCTGGGACATGAACCCTGTTTGGCAACATGGGAGTCCAGTGCTCCAAAAGCCATGCTACCTGCTGGCCCCAACTCCATATGCTTTTTTTAGAGAGAGATTTTTGCTATAGGGTGTATGCGCTCACCCAAAAGACAGAAAGTGAGGAATCAGGGGGTGGGGGTGGGGGGCGCGGCAGGTAGTGTGGTGGTTAAGGGCACTAGACTCCCACATGGCTGACCATGGGTTGAGTCCCGGACCTGGCAACTTGCTTTCTCACTTCTTCTCCCCTCTCTGGTCGAACTAAAATTAATAGATAAATAAAGTTAAATAAAAATAATTAAGAAAAAAAAGAAAAGAAAAGAAAGTGAGATCACCTCCCAGGGGATATGGCCATGCCGCAATCCCTTCAGGAGACTGGGATTTTGGGCATGCAACTCATACATGCCTAGAGTGAGTTTCAAGCTGTCAGAACCAGCGATGTAACCATTACGCTATTTGCTAGTCCCACTCCATACGCTTTTAACACTGACAGAATTTTTGTTTTTATAGAACTAAATTAAATGGCTTACAGTATTTCTTTAAAAGTCGGCAAAATCAGGCCAGAAGATATTGTGGTGGCTAAGGCACTGGATCCCAAATGACTAATTCTGCAGCTTGAAAAACACAAAGAATGGGAGAAAAAAGATTACAGAGTATCCAGGCCCCCTGGGGAGTGATTTCTCACTTTCCCTCTTTGTCTCTCTCTAGTAAGCACACATGCCCTATGGCAAAAAAAAATAGGTCTAATCTTTTGAATTTAAAGAGGGCAAGAGTGGAACGGCAATGCAGGGCACTCCTTAAAAACAGTGCCTTCAGGAACACTATGAGATTTCAAGTTTACAACAGCTGCGAGGAAGATGGCATTACAGGCTGTGAGGGAAAGTAGGGTGGTTCCAAAGGAAAAATTTCCACAAATCAATCCAAATTAGACAACAAGAGTGGTGCTCACCTCCAGCATAGTCCCAGACTCGATGGTTGGTGAGCTGCATGGCATATGTGTGCTGTGTTTCCTCAAAGTGCTTATAAGCATGTCGACTTACATATCGTCCACATCCTATGTGGCCACATATTAAACAAATCCAGAGGTTCTGCCGAGGAAGAGGTAAGATCTTCAATTAATTCAATGAAGGTACATGACCTGGCCCACTCAGGGTGGGAAGGGACCTAACACAGAATGAGATTCAAGAGTTGTTTCTACAGGAGTTTTGAATAAAATGCATGCGTAGGGATCAGCAGATGGAATAATGGTTACATTGCTGGACTCCCACACCATGCTTTGAGTCCTGGACCCAGTGGCTTAAAACTCACACTGAATGGATGCATGTGTGCACCTAAATCCTGAGAAGGGAATGGAGGAGAAGCGACTCAGTGTGGCCATCCTCTCTGGGCGTGATTTCTCACTTCTGTCTTGCTGTCTTTTTGCCCTACAGCAAAAATACTCCTCTAAAAAAAAAAAAACAACTATACACATACACACATGTACATATGTGTAGCGTGTGTGTGTGTAAAACTCAACAATCAGGGACCAGCAGGTGGCACAGTGGTTAAGGCACTGGACTTCCACATAGCTGACCGCAGGTCAAGTCCTGGATCCGGCAGCTATAACATCACACTGGGCACATCATGCATGTGTGCCCAAAATCCCAGGAGGAGAAAGGATTGCGGCATGGCCATATCCCAATGGGAGGTGATTTCTCACTTTTTTTCTCATTGTCTCTCTCTGGTGAGTGCACATACCCTATGGGAAAAACCTTAAAACAACAAAACAAACAAATAAAAAAACCTTTAGAAATCAAGAATGCTTTTATGGACTCTTTTTTTTTTTTTACTCTGATTTCTTTTTTTTTTTTTTTTGAGAGGTTTTTGCTATAGGGCGCGTGTGCTCGCCAGACAGACAGAGACAGAGAGACAGAAAGCAGGAAATCACCCCCTGGGGAGGTGGCCACGCCGCAATCCCTTCTCCTCCATTCTCCTCTCGGGATCTTGGGCATGCACGCACATGCGCCCGACATGAGTTTAAGCCACCAGGTCCGGGACTCAAACCGCGGTCGACTACGTGGGAGTCCAGCGACATAGCCATTACGCTAACTGCTGGTCCCTTCACTCTGATTTCTAAGATGTTCAATGTAAATGGCAAGAAAAAGATTCACGATTTTAAAGTCTGTCTTTTAAAAAAGAACAAGGAATAGAAGCATAAAACATTTCATTTAGGAGTAACATGACTTATGTATTCATATGTCTTGCCTGGTCCTAGACAAAAAAGGAAGGAAAAAAAAAATTAGTCTCAAAAGGAATTTAAGCCAGACTGAGCAGAGGAAAACCCCAGACAATTAAAGCTGTGTTTATTATTATTTTCTACCAGCCATTACTTACTTCCTGAACACCACACTCAAAACACTTATTTTCTTCTACTGGCTCTGGCGTTTGACAGTACCGGCAAACGGGACACCTACCCAGGACAACAAAAGAGAAAGATACAGATTAAATTTGAAAGACAGCCAACAGAGAATGTAAAACTAGAGTTTACATCCCTCCTCTTTTATGCTGTATATTTTCTTTTTTTTTTTAAAGAATTTATTTATTTAATTCCATTTGTTATTATTATTATTTTTTAATTTGAACAGAGGCAGAGAGAAAGAGAAGTGAGAAATCAAGCCACCAAGTCCAGGACTTAAACCATGGTCAGCCATGTGGGAATCTAGTACCCTTATCCACCACACCACCTACTGGCCCCTATGCTGTATATTTTCAAAGATTATCTCCTTCTCTCATGAGGAGGAGAGAAAGATTTAGAGGCAGGCAGACAGGCAGGTAACCCCAACAAGGACCCATACCCAGCATCAGCCTGCCACAGGTCACAGGCACATGTGTGCCTGGCGTGTTCAGGGAGGTTTCTGGATGTAAACCTGGAACTCTCCCATGAGGGTGCAGCCTTATAAAACACTGAGTTACCACTACATCACTGTCTGGCCCCTTTACTTAAGTTTATCATACTAAGGCTATCATAAGACAAACATTACTGAGCTATTCTCAAAAGAAATGAAAATATAATGAAGCAGAAAAAGGGAGAAATTTTTATTTTTTTGGAGAGGTTTTTTGTTATAGGGTGCGTGCACTGTCCAGAAAGACAGAGAGGGAGAGAGTGACAGAAAGCGAGAAATCACCTCCTGGGCGGATGGCCATCTGGCAATCCCTTCTTCTCCATTCTCCTCTTGGGATCTTGGGCACCCACGCACACGTGCCCAGCATGAGATTTGTGGCACGTGTGCTAACGTGCCTGGCTTGAATTTAAGCCACCGGGTCCCAGACTTGAACTACATTCGACTACATGAGAGTCCAATAACACAGCCATTACAGCAACTACTGGTCCCAGAAAAGGGAGAAATTTTGATCTGCCTCATATCCTTCGCCACTCTTTTGTCTGAAGCTGAGATGATCAAAGAGCTAAATATTTACAGTTAGAATAAGGATGTGAGACAAAGTATCAATTTTATTTCATGTGTAGTTACCCATAATGTGTTTTCACGCCAAACAAGCTACTTTATCCTCATTTCGGAAAGATTTAAATCAATCATGGCATAATGGTTATATCCATCTTTGGAGTCCCACAAGGCCAATGCCACAGCTCGAAACTCATGCTGGGCCTGTGTGCATGCATGCCTAAATCCTCAAGAGGGGAATGGAGAAAAAGGGATTGTGGTGGCCCCCAGGGGATAATTCTTGCCTCTGTCTCTCTGGCAAGCACACTTGCCCTATAACAAAAATCTCTCTTTCTCTTTTTTTTTTTTGAGAGGTTTTTGCTATAGGGCGCATGTGCTCCCCAGCAAGCCAGCCAGACAGAGACAGAAAGCGAGAAATCACCCCCCCAGGGGGAATGGCCATGCCGCAATCCCTTCTCCTCTATTGTCCTCTCAGGATCTTGGCCATGCGCACACATGTGCCCAGAGTGAGTTTTAGGCCAATGGGTCTGGGACAGAAACCACGGTCAACTACTTGGGAGTCCAACAACATAGTCATTACACTAACTGCTGGTCCCAAAAATCTCTCTTTAAAAAAATTTTTTAAAAGATTTAAATCACTCACATTGCCTATAGGCTAATTCTAAGAGATGGATTTAAAATCTGTAGTAAATTTTATGAAATTAATAAAAAAAGTATTGGGACCAGCAGATGGAGTAATGGTTACATCACTGGACTCCTACATGGCTAACCATGGTTTGAGTCCTGGACTTGGTGGCTTGAAAATCACACTGGGCACATGTTCATGTTCTATTCTCCCAGGAGGATAATAGAGGAGAAGGGAATGCGGCTTGGATGTCTTCGGGGGGAGGGGGCTGATTTCTCACTTTTCCTCTCACTGTGTCTGTCTGTCTCTCTCACTGGGGAGTACATGTGCCCTCAGACAAAAAACTCTAAAAAAATTTTTAAATAATATAAATGTACTTCCTGAAACGCACAACTCGCCATACAACAAGCACCATGTAAAAGAAGATACCAGTGCTCTATAGTATATTCAAGTTTTGATTTGCAAAAAGCCAATAAAAATGACACTGAAAAACTCCATTAACCTTTTTTCCCTACTATATTCAAGAGACAAAGTGATGCAAAGTACCAGTCTCGGATATTTGTCAGATAGGCAAAAAAATGGGTTATGGTTGAGGCTGACTGGTATTGGCACCAGGAAGAAAGAATGCTCGAGACGTAACTAGTGTCAGTTTATTACCCAACTGAGTAAATAAAACCAAGAAAAGGAAATAAGCAAAAAGAACACAAAGTTCTTGTCACAGAGAAGAAGGCTCTATCTGTGTTTCCTTAAAGACGATGAAAGGATCCAGTCTGTCCCTTTCTTTAGTACAAAAGACAAACTTGAAGAAATAACAGCGCCAGCAGTCAGTAAGTGGCCAACAGTCTTATCAGAGACAGGAACTACCTCTGTGTCATCCCTTCCTTTGTATGGTGGCTGTGGCTGTTTCAGTGGCTGGATAAGAAAACAACAAACTAATTCTGAAATTTAATTCAGATTAGATCACGTGCCACTGAAATCTAAATCTGATCCTGAGGGGAAAAGGGGAAAAATTACAAAAAAACCCCTCACTTATTTATAAAGGTTTTTTTGTAGGTACTTTAGAAAATTTGTAGAGAAATGGAATTAAAGCACCAGTTCAGGGACCAGATGGTGGTGCAGCAGTAAAATGCTGATGCTTGCCAAGGCTCACATGGGGAGGTTCTAGGTTTGTGTCCAGAGACCTCCCTGAATATGATAAGCACTTGTGTGCCTATGATTAAGGGCTGGCTAAGGCTTGGGGTGGATTGTGGTGTCAACACCCTGTCTGTTGTTCGTCTCTCTTGGTCTTTCTCACTTGTGGAAAAAATAAGTAAACCCTATTGAAAAAAATATATGACATTATTTTGGCACAAAAAAATTTTTGAGGGCCAGCAGGTGGTGTGGAGATTAAGGTGCTGGATCCAACTTGGCCAACTTCATGGTTAAAGTCCCAGACCCGACAGCTTGAAAATCATGCTAGGTGCATGTGAGTGCATGCCTGAAATCCCAAGAGGAGAGTAGAAGCAAAGGGAATGTGGTATGGCCACCCCCTTGAGGAGGTAATTTCTCACTGCCACTCTCTTTATACCTCTCTCTGACAAGCACATGCATCCTATAACAAAAACTAAAAACCAAACAAAACCATGCACAATATTTTCATAATATGCATTTTCTACGAACTTACGAACTATTTAAACAACTTTATTTATCATTTTTTTAAAAACTGACCAGAAAGAGAAAGTAAGAAAGAAAGCAGACAGGTCCAAGACTTGAACCAAAGTCAGCCACATGGAAGTCCAGTGCCTTAATCACCACACCTCCTACTGGGCCCTTCTGGGAACTTTTTGAGGACTCTTCATACAACTAGCCCTCCATGATAAAACTCTGAGTTTGTATCTTATTTTCTGATAAGATGTTTGGGGATACCTTCCCAAAGTGGCCTTCTCTGACATTTCCATGTGTCCAAAAGACCTGGTACTAATGCTGCCTTTGCCTACAATGGACCTTCCCGGGAACCCCCAACTGGAGGCATAATCTCTCTCTCCTCCAACCGCTACCCTAAATCACATGCATTTATGTACACGTGTAACCTCCCTTAGACTGAACTTCCGAAGAAGCCAGGTTTGGTTCCTTCCTCTCAGCACCTAGCACTGCACCATGCACACATGGTGAGGTTTTCAAAACATGTTTCGAGAGCAGATACCATGCCTCATACCCCACGTGGCAGCTGAATTCCAGGCCTGGTTCTGGCATTTCCTGGCTGTGCCATTTTGGGCATGCTAATTCTCACCTCTGCTTCCTCCTCCACAAAACGAGGAGGAGGCTGGACAAGGTCCCTGAGGAAATTTTCAATTTTGAAGTGTTAGGGCAGTGGCAGTTAACCTATACCAAAAAAAAAAAAAAAAAAAACTGGAGTAGTGGGAAACAGTACCCAGAACATAAGTGGTACAGCAGATAGACAAAAGATATGGATAAACACTTCTGGAATCTAAGGCTTTGTTTAAGGCAACTGTAAGCCTGGACAAAAAATATCTGGAATTGACTACAGATGCTACAGAATTGGGGCAAAATAAGATTCAGAAACCCAGGTTGATATATATGTTATCCAATATTTTCTTTTTTAAAAAAAATTTCTGTAGGGTGAGTATGTTCACCAGAGAGAGACAGAAAGAGAGGGGGAAAG